CATCGACATCAGTTTACAACAATGCACTGTCAATGGAAAAAATCAGACGCGTCACAGACGACAGTGAAAGGTCGCTCCGGGTCAGGCAAATCCAAAATTGGAGTATGAAGGAGACTCTCCTTAACAGCTTGATAAGCTTTTGCCTGAACCGAGTATCAACACCAAACCGCACCCTTTTAAGGAGGTTGGTAAATGGCCTTGCCATGTCAGCATAATTTGCACTATACTTGTGTAAGTAATTGGATAAATCAAGCCATTTATGCAAGTCTTTTGGGTCAGACGGAACCGGCCAATCCACGATGGATTTTACCTTAGCGGGATCTGCCCGTAGGCCGCGCTTTCCATTGAAGAACCTAGATAAAGGGATTTTTTCTGCACCATGCATTTAGATGCATTTGCATACAACTTGATGGTGCGCATGCACCCGAGCACTGCTCGTAAATGATCAACGTGATTTTCCACATCTGATCTTCCTTGTTCTGCACGGCTATGGACAAAAATGCCATCAAAATAGTTTTGTTCTTATCCTCTATGAGGGCGGAACAATTGCGTCACGAGACGATTTAAGGTTTCTAGGCATTAGAAAGTCCCTGAGGCATAACAATCCACTCCCAAAACATTGCCAATCAGCGTGCTAACCGCTGTGAGCGGCATGTCACTCGCTCGCATGAGCAGTTGGTAATAACCATCGACTAAGTCAAGTGCGCTAAACATAATGCAACCCACCATAGTGTTCTGAAGAACATACTTTTCAGGAATAGGTGTCAGCGCCGGTATAATGGCCGCTTTGAGCTTATTATAAGCGAGCACAACACGCCAATTACCATTAGGCTTTCTGATACAAAATGTCGGTGTGAATTGTGGAGATTTTCTCTCCCGCACCATGCTTGCCGCGTGCTTTGCACGAAAGAATTCGTCAATGACGGCACAGTGTTCCTTAGGCAATGGCAATTGCCGTGTGGCACCGTATTTGGACCCAGGGACTAGGTCGATTTCTCGACGCACACCTCTGTCGGGAGGTAGAGTGGATAAGGGATCATGACACACCACGTCCTGAAATTTCTTTACCAAAGGATAGAAGGGATCTGAAGGATCCTTTAAAATGGCAGATCCACTACGAGCACAGTTTGCAGCTCTTGTGTCCTCAAGGATTGTTTCATTTACAAGGGATGACAAGCTTAACTCAAAATAAAGTCTAAGGACCACCATATTGGACAAAGCACCAGCCATTAAAACTTAATGAATTCGTCTACAGACATTTGTCTAGCTCTAGCAGAGCGTTGATCGATGGGAGTGCCTCGAGGCCAACTTCTCCATCAATCACACCCGACACCCCATTGACTAACGCGTACAACTGTTTACTAGTGTCCCTCTGGGTCATGGCAGAAGCATTTCTTTTTGCAGCCGCCATCTGGCGTCGCTGTCGTCTCTGTGCAGAGACTGAACACTATAACGTGTTAGAAACATCCAATTTTACGAGGTGAAGATTAACTTCAACCTTAACCTGCTCTCTCTGAGAGCCAATGTCATTACCGACATCAAGGTGTGGAGCTCTCACGGCAGACCTCACTATGTGTACAGTTATCCACTACAAGTGCATCTGTTGAGCATAACTCTTGATGCCTTGGCGCATCGCCAACAATGTCATTACCGACATTAAGTGGGTTGTCATCACGGCCGACCTCACTCTGTGAATGTTTACGTGCCACTCCACGCGCATCACAGGGATCACACCCAGTATGACTCGGCCTTAAGCCATCAATGCTTCCAGCATTCAGTGATTCACAGTCAGTACTAGTGTCACTCAAAGGAATACGTGCCGTTTCACTGTTGTCAATGACATGAGAATTAACTAGCCCAGACACTCCAATGTCCAGCACACTGACAGAATCCGTCAGTGCCACGCGCCAATAGCGCTTTTGTCGCCCAGCAAAAACGGGTTCATGACCCTTCAAAGCTTCACTAGGAAAATTACGTGTTGCGCCTGAGGTCTTCGACCTTCAATCAATCCATCATTCATGGCGTCTAGCCAAGCTATCACAAGGATGAGATCATGTCTAGAGTTCAAATCCAGGACAAGACAACGTTCGATACTACCAAAATCAAAAAATTTCATACATAAGTTCAACGAAATTTAGGTACGGTGACACGAGTACCTGTCGCTAAGCGAGCAGTGATAACATCACCCTCATGCGCTTTCACCACCTCAGCGTATTGATGACATCTCTTAAGGGACCGGCGTCGAGCATAGTTGCCTGACGCTCCAGAGTCATTTAATATTGACCACGGCTCTTCAAAGCCTTCAATTTTAGCCGAGGCCACTAACAAGCCTAGCTTATACTCACGTCTCGTAAAAACTTCCACAAGACCGTCTAGGGCTAAGCCCTGCCTATCTTTACCATTTTAAGATTCGGCAGAGCCTGGTTCCTCCCCAGTAGGGTGCCCCGCGCCAACTGGGAGTTGCCGTTTTCCCGCTCCGTGCCCACTTTCGGGATAGGAGGCAGATTGCGGCTCGACCAACTTTAACGCGGCTTCCGCAGTGGGCACTGACGGCGCAAGTGCTTGATGCTCCCGCACATGTAACATCTACGGATGCTACGTTGCTGTTCAACAGCCAGAAGATCTCGATCTTCTTCTTCGGCATGTCTGAGGTCCACGGGCTCAGCCTCGTCAAATGATCTTTGGGCATGCCCATACATGCCAAAGCGAGCGGCTTAAAGTTGGACTCAGCATTCAACGCTTTTTCTACGGCCCCTTCAATCGTTTAGGGGTGGACGCGGAAGACTTCCGTCCTTACGATTCCCGTACGAAGGCCCTCCATAAAAAAAACGATGACACGGACCTGCTCTGAAAGAGGGTCCATCTGCATATCAGCTATGAGAGTTTGCAATTCTTGGGCAAATTCCGGAATTCTCTCTTTTCCTGCATGGTGGCTAAGAATCGAGAGCGAACACGATAAGACTGAATCGGTGGCGCAAACACCCGATATATCTCTCGTTTAAGCGAATCATATGCGGAAAACGCAGCGCTGAACGACATATCACAGGTAAGAGCCCATTCTTTGGCTCTAGCACCGAGCTTAGAAGTGGATAGGCCAACTTTCAGTCGCTCCGATTGAAGCAAGGCGGCTTCGATAGCCAAATTGATTTCTCAAATCCAGAGGAGGAGACTTTCCCCCTCTTTCCACTCGAAAGTCTTAACGTTAAGAGTGAGCGAACGAGTCTTTGACTCACTGTCAGGTACAGGAAACTACCGTGTAGATATGGCTGAGGCTAAATGGTCGTGGAGCTACCCTATCAATGTAGCCTCAAACTGCATAAATGCATCAAGACGTGCATTAAGCACTTCTGGGCCTTGGGCCACTATGTGGTCGACCTGTTCGACCCCTTTCAACGATCTGAGCTTATCAAGCGCGATACGTTGAGCCTCAGAGAGGTAGTCAAGAACCTCCATCTCTCACAGAGGACTAGTCGAAAGAATCAGGTGTAGAATTGACTACAAGTGCTACCAAGTGTAGCGAAGCTACACAGCTCTTTAAGTCAGAGGAAGACTTATTCAACAATTTAACGGCTTATGGCTGACAGTCTTTTAGTTCTACGGAATTAATGAGTTAAGTTAAGAGTCACCCAGTTCTACGGAACTCGGGTGGACTCTACGAGCTAACAGCTCAGCTACTGTAGTTCTAAGGAACTACATGCACAATTTGCAAAAGAGGAATAGCGGAGTCTAAAGACTCTTTAGCCCACGACAGCTCTGAGGAACTGTCAAACGCAAGGTGCGAAAGGGGAGGAAGTCTAGGGACTTCGGCATAAAATGAGAACTGAACTTTATTTCGATTTTATATCGAGGAAAATCCTGCTTTATGTACCCTATATTATATTAAACGAGAACTAATACAAAAAATTGTATTCGAACTAAATGGACGGTGCCATTTAACTCATTTATCAAATGATGACAGTACAAAGTAGGTACACGGTAAGTACCGTAAATCTGGGAATCGATCATTCGATATCTCTCTTGCTATTATAAATTCTAAGGTATCACGTATTCATCGATATCATACGTGGAAGATCTTTGACCAATTTAGCCGCAGGTGTAACGGGGCGCCCTTTGTTAGAGGTGCAGCGAAACTTTACGTACACTAGTACGTGCAGAGGAAGCTAATTTACTTAAACGACTCGGTCAAGTTAGGGTAAAAAGAGAACTGTATGTAACATAGTTAAGCTATCAAGATAACTTTAATCTTTATTTAACGATATTAAACTACGTCGTCGTATGACGACGACCTGCTCACCACTCATTGCGCCCGTCTAGCAGCGATTGGTGGTAGTCTACGGTTGATATGTCTTATATCAACCAATCTTGGAGCAGCGCATGAATATTGTCCAAAAGGGGATAATATTTCTTCAATATTATCCATCTCGGATAATATTGGTAGAATATTGTCACGCTAGACAACATTCCTATTGACACCGTTTGGTGTCAATTCATGTAAGGGGCTACCCCGTTACAAAAGGCTAGTGTGACCCCGTTACAGATCAACTATATAAATACAGTCCTTTTCACCGTTGCTAATACGAGTAAATTAAGTAGATTACCTTCCTCTGCACGTACTAGTGTACGTGAAGTTTCGTGGCACCCCAAGCAAACGGTGCCCCATTATAGTGACATACAAGAAACTAAAATTCGTTTAAGGAAGCAAGGGAGTTCTATAGTCTCCGCACCTCTGAGCTTATATGTATGGCATAACACAGATAAAGCTTAACTCCTGAGCTAGTAAGCTGTCCATTAGGTTGTTTGACGCGTTTGTAGTACACTATTGTAAGAATACAGCACGATTTAGCCTCGCCCGATATTCTACGTTTTCAATACCAGCGATATCGGAAGGTGCCACTCCAGCCAATCATCGTGCTCGACGAGACTCTTGGCTCTCGTGACGCACAGCCACTCAAACGTCCATTCATTCCAAAACTCATCCAAGATCCTTTGCCCAAGAAAAGATGCGTTTCCACCCCTTCGTTCTTCTTGCGTCTGCAGCAGTTCTGACTGGCGTCACTGTTTCCGTGGGAGTGTCCGGCACCTCGAAGGGGGAGGGCAACTCTGCGGCCAGTGTTCCACCCTTCTTTCCTGACTCTGACGACGATTCTCGCAACGTGCCACTGATAGGACAGAACGCCGCAAAGGATGAGGCGAGGACTTATCCAGGACCTTCACGGGTCATCCCAGAATTGCTAAAGGTGGTTCAAAAAGAAAAACCTCTGGAGTCCAAGCTATTTGAAATCAGTGGCAAGCAACAGATCGCTCCGGGCGTGCTGAATCGAATGGGGGACAGTCAAAATGCTGCCGGGATGAGCGCGGACAGGGCACAAGCCGCTCGGGGCGTATGGAACGGGATGATAGCGGAGAGTAAGACACAATTGGAAGCATCACATTGGCTAGCAGAAGTACGACCTGAGCTACGAGTGCTAAAGTCAGATACGCCAGAGGTGCGCGCTTACGTGAACTATATCGCAAGTCGGGCCAACCAAATTCCTAACGTCAATTCTCCCATTACCAAAGATAATATCGTGAAATGGATACAGAAGCAACCTGAAGCTAAAGAACTTCACACGGTGCTGATAAAAAACAATTTTATCTGGCGCCTGGATTTCAAAAAGATGGAGGCCTTGAAGGATTTTTTTGATGGAGATGAGACGAAGACGATCCGGACGCTTTTAAAATCCTGCAAAAGCGCGACTAAATTCACAGACTTTTTGTCGATCGCAAAGCTATCTCCGGCCATCAGGAACGATGCGGTGTCGTTCCAGCAAATGCTGCTACGTTACTGGAGTACAAGCCAAAACGAACAAATCTCTTATGTGATTGAACTTCTCCAAATTAAGACGAGAGGCTTGACGTACGAAACCATGGATACTTTGGTCGAGTTCGTTGCTCTAAAAGAGGAGATAAAAGGTGACCAGCTATTTGCACTGAAAAGAACGCTGTGGCATCTTGACACCTATTTTGGTGTCGATAACTATTTTGAGTCGAACATCGCAAAGGGGAAGGATACGAACGGGCAGGCCAATGCTCATCCTGGCACGTCACATCAAGATGGCAGGTCTGGAGTCCCCAGCATCGCATCGGAGGAGCACAACGAGCCATCCATACTTTTGAGGACAGAGTCGGTCGTGAAACGGAAGGCAGAAAATCTGGACTCGGGTCGCGTGCGCAAGAAGCCGTCGCCTTTGACGAACGACGTACCCGAGGATGATCCAGGGTTGTCGTTGGTTCTTTCGCTGAGGCCCCCGGGGACTTAGCTGCCTTCATTGATAGTGGCAATCAATACACACTTTTTTCATCGTGTCTAATCTTTTTGGAGGAGTCATCATATGTGGCTTATTCAGCTGTGAAGACTAACAGAAGCAGTCATAGTAGCACGAGGTGTGTTCTCAGGTGCGTGTGTCTGCATAAGCAAGCGACACGTAAACTCGCTACAAATGTTGTTGACGTGATGTACGGTTTCTTCATAAATTTCTCCAGCGATCAACTCAAATACCGTCAGTGGTTCGCAAAACGAAGATAGCTAGCGTATCTATTCCAGTGTTTGTCGACTTTTGACACCACACGGAAGCGTGGTCTCATTCTTAAGTAGCCCAGTCGACAACGTCGTTAGCATGGTTCTCCCGACCAGTACAAATTCGAAAATAACGTAATGGAGTAGCTCCATCTGGCTGCTTCAGCCAGGTACGATTACAGCTATCATCCAAGAAAAGAAGTGCTACTCGTCTGCAGTGGCCTCGCCCGTTCGCTGCCGGTCCCTTGTGTCCCGTCAAGGGCGACGTTGTGATTGCCGCCTGCCCAATCAAATGGATTTCCGTTCACTCTGTCTTCATTCACGTCGAGCTTGCACTTCGCTTCGTAGTTGGGTCTACGCACGAGACTGCAGACAATATGATGATCACTGTACAAGCAGCACAAGCAAACACTTTGCACCAAAAAATGACCGCAGCCTCGATGACAAGATGATGAAAAGTGAAAGTGTGTTCAACCGTGCTGCAGCTCGGTTCACTTGGATGTCACTTCGTTACTGGAGACAATTTCTGTACGGCGTCCATGCTTGCACGTTTGATCATTTCCACGGGACCGACATCAACACTTTGATGTACGGCTCATGAGCTAGGTCGGATATGACACTTATTTTACTAAATCTTGTTTGTATGGTCTGCTTGCCCTTGTGCATTCTTTTTCTGGGGCACAAACGGAGCATGGTCGAATCCGTTCGGCTTTGCTGTCGTCAAAGAAGCCTGCTTCAAAGCTTGTACAATCGTGTGTCAGCTACTTTCCATGGGGACATTATCGTACAGGCTAGTAGCCACCCCGTTTTCGTTTGTCTCCTTACCAGCTGGTATGTCTTACAAAGTGAGGAAAAGCCACACGTGAAGTTGTCATTTATCCAACCGTCTGAGCTGCCAGCAAGACGGAGTCTTCGACAAACCTGCCGTAACTACTAACAATCACAGGTTTCATGGTCAGCCTTCTGAGTTTCGACATATCTCCCGGATGAATTGCTAGAAGCAAACGTGATATGCCAACGCTTACGAACAATGGATGCGAGCTTTAACCTTTGTGGATCCGACCAAGATGTGACGATCGTTTCTCAACTTGTACGATTTCCGAACTAGACGGAGAACTGGAAGAGATACGTCACTGTTACGTTGAAGAAGACCAACTTGTGATGTTTTAGGTTGACCGAACGCTGGTGTCGCAATCGGTACGAACCCGCAAGTAGCGTCGATGGTATCAAATATACGAGGCGCTTGCAAAAGCAGCACTACGTCTGCTAAACGACACTCACACTATGCGGGATAGTACGGTGCACTACTGGAATCCTGCAGCAACTGTGTCTTGGTGCCCGCAAATCGAATCAACGATGAAAAGGTGAGCCCGCGTCCGCTCACACACGTACACCAGCATGTTGGCAATGTAATGTATATCACATGCATCAAGACTTTCATCGCAACCAGAAATGCGGTACATACGTCGTCTAGACGATCCTGTAGCAACACCCAGAGCATCGCAGCTGTTGGCTTCGTGGCTGCCACTCAGTCTTCCAGCTTCAGCAGATCCATTATGACGCCAATTTTGCTCTTGTACTCCAGATGTCCTCCAATGATCTCTGATAAATTCACATTTTCGACACCAGCAATATCGAGAGGCGCAATGCCCGCCGAATTCAGAGCCCATCCCTGGTAGCGATACATCACACCAAGCATCCAATCATTATCTGAATACCCATTAATTAGCCTCCCGGAGACTACGCGACGAGCGCTCATCCATTCGTTGCGTGCCATATGAAGAGGCGATCCAAGCAAGACAGCGTTCTCTACAATCCCACACGATTCGTTGACCATATCTTCATTTGCCAGTTCTTTCAAGCAGGAGAAAATCAATCTGGCACCCATGCCGTACCCAATCAACGTGACGGGACGCAAGCCTTGCTCTCGCTTACGCAGCGCATCCGCTAGCAATTTACCAGAGCTGTCTGCAGCGTTCATAATTACTGTCCAAGCGTTGTCAATGATGTCGGCCAGTCGAAATATCGCCCGTGGAATCGCCACGGCTGCAAACAATGCTGCCAGCGCAGTGTATTTGACAATCTCTGTCGTCGCATATACTGAAACTTGCTCAGCTGCAAATGTACGCATGCATCTACCAAACCGACGTAGTCCTGCTTCCTCCCAAACAAGGCAATACTGGTCACCATGAGGGAAACGGTCGTTCCATCGCCATGCTTGAAGCGGATTGAGCTTTGTTCCTCGCTCCCACGCAGATGGACTAGCGTTGCTTGCTGCTGTGCTCTTCAAACTAGGAGAACAAGCTTTTGGGTCGCTGATGTGGTTCGCTAAGTTACCACCACGCGCGTAGGTGTCTGTGTGTACTGTCCTCGACAAACATGAAGCATGACGTGGATCATTCGTCTCAGTAAGCAGCTCGTCTTCTCGACCTCGACACTGGCCCACGACTCGATCCACCTGATCCACCTGATCCACCTGCTTTGGCTTTCTTTGAACACACGACGCACTCAAGCCCTCGCTAGCATCCCCCCACGCTCGACGGAATCCGTTTGTCGGCGGGTCGTCTTCGTCCAGCCACCCCGACACGCAAATGTAGACGTTCATGCCATGCCCTGCCGACACGAGATCGAAGCCAACATCATGAACGCTTTTCGTCCTTTTCTCAGTCTTCATACCCATCACTCCCGCTCCAGCTGTTCCAAAGAGCACTGTCGTTGCTGTGACGCCGGTTGCAGAGCCCACAACAGCGCCGATCGTCACGCCTGCTCCTCCCAGCGCTGTCAAACTTGCCGCAATTGCAGGAGCAGCAAGACCTCCTGTCACTGCAAGTAAAGCGCCACCAGTCACAGATGCTGCACCGATTGCCGCATGGCGTTTCCAGTCCCAGCCTTTTGGTTTTGTTCCTTCTTTCTTGGCCAGCAGCGTGGCAGTGGCTTCTGCGTACAACGTCTGGCCAATCTTCTCCTCTTCCTGGGTCACGTCTGCCCACTGCAAGTCCATTGCCAGCACGAGTCTCCTCATCAATGTTCTGGCCCGAAGCGCACGTGGGACTCGTCCAGTGCGTCACTTATGACCGAATTGTTCAATTGCTTCCTTGCTTCTGATTGGTCTTTTTTGGGCGTCGTCAGTTTCGTCCACGCTCGAGAACATCGAGTCGTGTCTGTGGCATTTTTAGGTGTCACTTGAGCCAGAAAAGGGGCGGGGTCAAAGTCGTCTACGAAAGGAGATGTACCACGTGACGGTATGTGCATCTTTTCAGCCAATTGCAACTGTCTCGACATCAAAATGGGTAAATAGGCCTCGGTTTGGCTACTAGAAAGTCTCAAAAATTGCTCCACCAGTAGCTTCAGGTACGTTCGCGACCATAATATGTCAATCGAGCCATCGGAGACAGCGGGTAGAAGACAAGCACATAAACCTGCGACACCGCGTTTCTGACTCTCCGAAAGGAAGTCCAAAGCATCTTCTGCTGATTGCATGCTGTACCGAGATAAAGGATGAGCAAAAGGTGCTAGTGATGTACCCTCCAAAGATGAAATTGACCTTTTCTAAGCGCTCGTTGGTGCAATGCAGGCGATGCTATTGGTTATATTTATGTCGCGGATGTGGTAGTTGATACTTCAATAAGAGGTTACGTCCTAGAGATATTGAAGCGTCGCATGGTGTTGTTGCACTTGTGTAGAGTCGGTCTTGCAGTCCAGACGAAGCACTGGAGTGTCGAGAGGGTCCGTAACGTAACATGCATCAATTAACTACCATTGTCATAGGAAGGTGATGGTCATTGCGCTTTCCAAACGATATATAGTGGGTTAGGTCGTTCACTTTTGTCCAGTTGCTTGGCAAGCTACATGCGATACCGAGTTTGGACATACATCCGATTTAGGCCACGACACGAAAAGAAACTGGTCCATCAGGCTCCTCCTTGGTTGTAGTCCCCGGCGTCAATCTAGAAGGCTCAGCTCTAAATTTAAAGATAGCGCTCCACTACTGATAGTAACTCAAACGACTGACGATTCAAATTTCCACCTGAATACATGATGCAGAATATTGTAGATGCAATGTTCCCTTTTTAAAGCGCTTCACTTGGACAGCAGAACCTGTAGCCATCCGTTCACCTCAATCGGTGTCCCTAACAACCTGCCTAGGCTTATCGATCATACATACTTGTCCATTAAACGGTGGCATCGATTACTACCTGCTCCATTTTGACTTAGGACCATGCGCTGCAAGGATGTGCAAGTGCTCTTTATCACACGACAATGTAGAGAATTAAATGCAGAAAGGGTCCATCACCACCCCTCCTCTTTACTACAACGACAACACCATCTGAAAATCTTCACAGTTGAGCAGGCAAATCCCTCCGTAATACCGTTCCTGTATAGTAGTTAATTGTAATAACTAATTTCGCGGCTACGAATGGTTTATGAATACTTCTGTTTACGAAGAATTATGCAATGAGATCCAGTGGGGACTTCCAAAACCCCGATAAACTGAGTTTACTTATAGCGTTTATGGCACCTCTATTAATCCTTTTTACAAATGAATGCGAGCAAATATTTATGCGATGTCGTGCCACCAAAACCATTCGACAAACCGTTTAAGTAAAAATAGAGATATTTGACTACTTATTACCCAGTATAATTATGTGCTTGAAGTCTGAGATCGTCAAAGCCAGGAACGCAGTACGAAGCGCGGCGGTAGTATGTGACAACGTGTTAAGGAAGAGGTTTGGCAGTCCACTATAAAGTTAAAGTTCAAGACAAGCATGCAACTGAGCCCCTTGAACTACTGTTTATGCGCATTTATATTCTTATCACGCTAGCAGGCGTCGTGGACTGCGCGCCACGAAAAGCGACATCATTTCGCTCACAACATAAACGCGTGATGCAGATAGAGCACAGCAGGAACCGAACCCGTTGCCACACCTGTTCGCCAGCCGCAACATCATCTTGACTAAATTTAATAGGCCTGACAGTCGGCATAGTTGCCAAAGCATCCAGAAAAGACACGAAATATCGATAGCGCTGATTCTATGTCGGATGAATTTACCTCACCACGCACACGCCTTTGGCACTCTCAAAATAATATTAGAAAATCTTTGGCACCCCGTGACACTCCTGTAAGGCACGACAGCTATTGTCCGTAAGAAATATTGGAAATTAAGTCGCTTGGTGGCGACGTGATACGCCATCCATACTTGGCAGCCGGAGAGTCCATTGTCGTGCTTCCAGACATGAGAAGAAAGCTAAACGGCCGCCGCTAGTATCCAGGTATCCGTGTCAAAAATTGCATCTAATCGCTCTAGCAAAAATTGTAATGGGATGGTAAGCAGGCATTAGTGGAGCTTGAACGCCTGTCGATCCATTGGCTGACGTATGGTACCAAAAGGGACCGTTTGGGGCTCCTCAGCGCGCATAGATAATAGAAAGGTTGTGTGTAAAATACAACTATGGTCTTCTAGAGGTGCGAAGCCCGTTATGAAAGAGTACCGTACGACTCCGTGTCCAGCTCCAAAACCTCCGACTCGAATACCAATGCAGCCCGTCGACGGTCTGCTTTGTGCGAACCAGAAAAACATCTGATAGCAAACGACCTCTGCAAAAAAAGATTACAGCCTCGGCGCTCAGTACCCATTTAAAGTCACGAAGAAACGGTTGGGAAATATCAAATCGACAAAACAGGCTCCAGTACCAGTTCTGACCAAATCGGAAAATAGGTGACGCCAACAAAATGGAAGTCGCCCATCATATAATGTGGGCTGGAGATACGTAACACTTCCCTGTGGCGACGGTGGGTATACGGCGGTGGGTGTGCACATTTGAGAGTGGTTTGTTTCATTGTGCAATAAACATTTACGAAACAACATGTTTGTCGATTTTTTTTGGTCTCGATCGATATGTGTTGCTTTTAACGGTTTTATAAATGCATTTTAGGAGGGTGCTATTTACACTATTTCTAAAATTGGTTTATCGGGGTTTTGGTAGTCACCCAGTACACGGGGGTGCAGCTCTAGCAAAAAGAGGTCGCCAAAAATACTCTGTCACACACCGATAAACTCCCCGGAACATATTTAAGTAAAAAAACTAATTTTTCATCATTACAAAGCAAGCAAAACCATTTATGTTACTACTAGGTAAACCTTCAACGCTGCTATAGAATGGTGGATCCTGAACACAAGACCTAAATCGGTCACTGCAAGAAGCCAAAAATACTCTGGTCACACATGTGCAGTAACAAGGCTGTGCTGTCAAGAGAAGTCTGACAAAACAGAACAAAACTGTAGTAGACCAAATGTAATTAGGTTGGCATGAAACGATGGGAGTGTCATTTTAATATTCACGTTGGATACTGGTATCAAGATAATTCTGTAATAAACCACCATTCTTTATAGAGCGTTCAAGATGCTGCTTTATATCTGAAATTGGCATGGATCGCACTACCCCGCATGTATCAACCAGAGTGCTACTGGAAAGGTCGGTCTCGTGTGCAAAGCATGATAAATTTTGACTACGACTAGGCGATTAACTCAACGTTCGGTGCGAATAAAGTCATAAACGAGGGCAACCATGCTCGCAAAATTAATCGAAACCCTCATCAGGAAGCGTAGGTAATCTTTAGAAAGTGATTTTAATAAAAAAAAATATAGCAGCTAATCAGCAGAGACTTCCTTACTTTGCTGATGAGCTGCTGTTGGCGAAAAAGGGTGCTCAAGTATTCTTAGCTCTTCACATCATGTTAAGCCAATGTGAAGCATTAATTATTGTGAAACGCGTCATTCAATGTTACAAGGAACGAAAATCCATTCGGATACAACGGCCGACCGTTTAATACACGCTTAGGGCTAGTAGATTATACTTATGTATCTCAATTAAGTACCAACACTAAAACTATAGACTGATGCGTCGTGAGCTAAAACATTATATACATATCGTGCACGAAAGCGTGACCGACTAATTATGAAGCTGTGATGTGTTCTGAGCCGATAATTTTCGTGCGCTGGCGGTAAACAGGTCAGCGACAAAAGGGTAAATGCCAATAATCATACAGCCACAACCCAACGTTCGCTAACAACCACATGTCTTTAAACAGCACTGGAATGAACTTATTTTATCTTAGTAAATAGGATATAACGACGTCATGGCTGTTTGCAGAGTCATTGAGCACCCAAAAAATCATGGATACTCCGTACCAGAAGAGAAACAAAATTGAAGATAGCATGATAGAATCAACGGATTGGATAACTTGAGAACGATGCACTTACTCAACTTTAGCTTATTGCCTTGATCCCGCGGCTTTAACTACGCCTATATTCACATCAAATTAACCCACTTGTCACTCCGACTATATCTTAATCTTGCATGTGCTATGTCATTAAATATAAAGAAGACATCCGATATGTTGGCCAAGATAACATCCACATAAGCCTCGATCGGGCCGCCCATTTCGTCAAGATTACGTCGCCGTCAATAATGTGCCATGTAACGTTCACCGCCTGTGGTGTAGCTCACAAGTTGATATCGTTGTTGCTTTATCGTTGGCCTACTCCGCTATTCCTGACGCTGCCAGTAATGCTCTGTACACACTAATTTTCCATCGATGACAATTCCCTCCTTCCGTCCCCGCTCCATCAGGACTTGTAAAGACCCCATCCCGGTCGAGTCATTTGGTAGTCAGAGATTAATTTTGTACTGTCAAGGAATACGACGTGCTTTTAAAGTTTCCCGTTAGCATTCTGTACAAGAGTGCAAGGCATTAAGCGAAATTTACTCCATTGCTCACGAGATACATACTGTGAGGATTCCAAAGACGGCTGATGCGCTCGTAAAACACCAAAAATCCGTTGTCTATTTGTATTACCTCGCAGTACACAGTTATTAATTGTGCCACGAGATATGGAAGGATGGACGCTCTGTTCAATTAACGGCCACTGGCCACCTCCGACGCATATACAAGATAACGTTGTAGGTAATATTGGAGAGGATTGTGTAACAGATTGTGTAACACTATGATGCCAGGGTTGTCCGGGTGTGTACCGAAGCTACACAACTCCTTAAGTCTTTGAAAGAATCAGTGCTCAAAGAGCGATATTGGTTCTAAAGAAGTAGATTCTGTGAGCCAACAAGCGTAAAGCTTAAGTTCTATGCTCCAAGGGACCAAACGATTCAGTGAGTATACAGCGCTTAGCGCTCAAGAGTATCTACCTCAGAGAGGTGTTGCTAGCTCTAAAAGATCAACGATCAGAGTCGCCTCGCAAGGCGCGTGTCTTAGACAAGATCAAAAGTGGAACTGAATGTTTTATACGTTTAACGCCATGGAATATCTTAATCCTATAATTACATAATCTGGGCACTCACTTTCTGTTTAAATGTCTTTACGATCTTTTCTGTATTGTATTGTGGCTGATACCCCTCAGCCCCTGTAAACCGATAAAATGTTCTAGACCTCTTTTTTAGTGGGATACCATTCCGTGTGTCTACGACACAAGGCATAGATTACCCTATAATTTTAAACATCTTTATAGGGTGCGTCAATGAAGGCTATTCCGTGGTTGTGTGCGCTTATTGATGATAGCGTAAATTGCATTTTAATGCCTTCGTCTTCCAGTCAGTCAGGCGCGGGGCAAAAGCTTAATTAGTAATAGCAAAGCAGATATATCGTTGTCTAGAGTAAAGCTATGATGCATCAGTTTGACATCATTCATTTGGAAATGTTTACAAATTGTTAACATGAGTTTTTTGGATCACCTAAAAGACATGAAGGTGCGCTTGCTAATACGCGAAGAATTACCCATGTACAGAACCTCACTACATATGTAAAATATACGGGAAAATACAGTATCTGGGGAACCACCTCTCTCAGATGAAAGTTGGTACAGAGTAGGGGATCAACACTTCCCCTTTCATTCGTATGGCCTCGTTGACAGGTTTTGGTGGCATGATATTGCTCAAATATATATGCGCACACGTTTGAAAATGTAATTTAATCGGGTTTTCTATACACAATTGAAGATTTCAGCTCAATGATGTTTCGATAGTCATTTGTTTCCTTGTACAACGCTTGATCCTCGATCGAACATCTTCAGCTGTCAGTCTACGTTAGCTTTACGTGAAATCAAGATACTTCATTTTTTACACTTTTAAATATGCTCCGCAATAGCAAATAAATCTGTAGGAAACTTATAGGATTGCTACATTTCGTTAGCCCACCTACATGTTGTAGTTCACCACCAACCGAGATAATTTTGGGACCAGTGTCATTAGCTAAAGAAGTTTTAGATTGGCTATGATTGATTGCATAAATCGGCTGCAGGATATTAAGTAAATCGAATTTTTCAAAAGACCACGACGTAGTTTGATTGAATAATGGTAAATTATACCTGTATCAACCAAAATTCGAACTAGAAACTAAATTGGACCAAAAACTTTCGCATTCGCCATAAAAGGACTTCTTCACCTTTTTGTCGTAAACAAACTTCCATTACTAACTTATTCTACAGTACTGTACTGCTGTGGAGTTTTTGCATATCAGTTTAAGCGAAAGTTATGCTGAATGTTTAATGGATTACAAAAATAAGTCACACTTACTACTGGAGTTGCCCTTCAACTCTCGATATTTTGTCTTTGACATGCCACACGTGAGGTGGTCGACATAAAACAGCATGATTTTTATTTACAAATTTGCGTGGCCACCATACAATGATGCTTAAACAACGTCTCCAGCAGCTATGGACTACGTGCGAGTGCTCTCGACGCGCGAAAATTGGTGGCGGGTTTGTTCTCGGCTCTCAAAACGCTCGTAATGTATCGACTGAAAGCAACAATGAAGATTGGAGTGATCTTAACAACGTTATCAAGGTCGAAATCTCAATGGTCTGCTTCGTAAGCTGATTTCGACTCGTTGATTAAACCTCATCTTGTATCATAACTCCATGCAGGAACTTCGCAATATATCAAGAGAGAATGGACTAGACGGAGCAATGGTGGATACGAAGCTACTAAAAGAGCTGGGATACGGCGCATTAGTCATGGCGATTCGTAAGAAACACGGTGGTATTGTAGAGGTGGCGACTAGGATGGGCGCGCATAAAAATCACCAGCTCGTCGACGTGCACAAGAAAGTGGGGGCACGCCTGAAACGCCGGCAACGACGAAATGAGCGTCTTAGTCGACACGACTTTTATAGTTGACGATTGTTATGGCACTGGCATTCCTTCATATCATCTTACACACTAAGCTATAGCGACGGTCAATTTATCATTTATTGTACACCATCCACCTGACACCGCAACTGGATTCGTCTGTTGCAATTACCTGCCTGGCATGCTTTTCTCGAAGAGCACAAAGAGTCAGATGCTCAGCATTTGTCCACGTGTAAGTCACAAACTTTTTGCTAGCTCTTGGTTGACATATTGGCCGTTGCCGGATCAACGACGTGTGTCCTTCTATTTGATCAAGCCCACAAGGAAGTCCATCTTTTATCAATCGGCCTTGATGTGCGCACTGCATGCCATTGAGGCAGGAGCGCACAACCACGAACTCTCAATGACTTGGAAGAGATTCCGATGACGCACTGGTTAGTCTACAGACTGATTCTCACTTTGAAGTATCTGCAAGATCGTTAAGTGCATGCTCAACAACTTTGCCAAAACTGACACCACGCTCTCATGATTGCACGCGTCGTGTGGCCAAGTATTTGTGATGACTTCAATTGACGATAAGAATTCCAAAGTAGCATTTTGTGGAGCATCGGACGTCGTGGATATTGTCCACGTAAGATTTCGAGTTCGTTTCCACGCTTTCCGACCACGCATACAACAGTGGTTTAGCAGCAATGTAGTCGTCGTGTCAAATCGACAGATCGAGCAGGTTTTGAGTGCGCAATGAACGAAGTTGTGGACAAAATTATCCGTGAGCGACACGAAGACGTAATGCTCGAACGCTGGATAGCCGGGATGCATAAGTCGAGTACTCGATTCGTCAAATACGGTACGACGCCCTCGAGATGTAGGTAAGCTTTGAGCGTGCCGGATTCGACTATGATGGTAAGTCGAATAATCGATACAAAAAGTATCAGAGAAACATCACGACGATCCTGGAAACTCCTGCAACGAAACGCAGTACTTACATGATGTCGTCCAGACGTCACAAGACGTACAGGCACCTTATCTAGACACCAACTAATCTTATTTCTTTCGTTGCACTATCGTTCTATTCCTATGTACATTCCAATTCTCGACGGGAGACCGGGACATTTGGTAAGAGTACATCATCGGCTCGGCCATTCGCTCGTTACAGCATATTCATTCGGTGCAGTACTTTTCTTCCCGAGCCTCTGTACCATCTCGCCAAAGTCGCATACCGTCTCTATAATAAAGCGACAAAATAATTTGTCAGTACGCTTGCATCACCCGCCAATAAATGAGCATCAATTATCAGTCTTCCTGTGGCGACATCAGCTCTCTGGATCATGCATTCTAACGCAGTATCCCACTAATGTCACATCACCGCCGCAAACCAACAATCTTTCGTTGAAGTCAACCCACTCAATAAAATTGAAACAAATTTGCTTTGCACGGTGTCGATCAGACTACCCAACAATTTCAGCTTACGTCTGAGAATCTGCGCTCTTCTTATGTACAAACGTGACTGCGCGCAAGTGTCTGCATCTCGTACGCGCCACGCTTCGCTTGAAACATTACCGTGTCGCTGCAAGTAACATCAAGGTTTGATGTTGCTTTTCTTTGTACGCGCTTGAGAAACAAGGTATGCCGGCCGTCTGATGTAACGGAGTTAGCCCGTTGCGTGTCTGCTCGTTCGCACAGCTCGGCAATGATCGCATGAGCGACTTGTCGACCCAATAAGTTCCAGCCAGTCGAATTCTTGAATGCAAGCGTTGCTTTCGATGCACGCTCTAAGCTGCGTTGGAGTGACCAACCTTTAAAATACGGTCAGCTTACGTTGCTCCACTAAGCCTTCGCTGCCTATTGTTAAACGACACAATATGTGCAAGATAGAGATAATGGTGCTCTAGGGTCTAACCGTCGTACTAATTCTAAAGTCTACGCTGTAGATTCTACAAGTTTCGAAGCTACTTGAAGCTTGCTCGAAATAACGGCGATATGTTCACGTTGCTCATGCAACTAGTGCCTACGATGGCGAAGCCATACACACATCAAAAGCTTTCTTTCCTTTCCCTCCATTACCATATTAATAGATACAAATTCTTGACGCTTCGAATCGTCTATGCCACGAACAGATCCTATTTTAGAATGCGGACTTTAATTACCCCAGCTCTCGTGCGGTCTCCTGGTGGTGGACCTTTTTGTCACTTCAGTTATCGTCGGGAGCTGTCAACGTTTAGCGGTCTCAGGACGCTGTGAAAGATTAGGCAGAGAACCGTCACTTTAAAAACTTGTGGTTCTAGCTTTCAGGCTACGCGCGATTCAGCCAGTCGTTGCGATCTGCGGAAAAAGGTCGACCGGACGGATCGACAGGATCGTTGCAAAGAACCGGCACTCCTATTCGAGATTTCTTACCCGCATCCAACACACGACGTGGGCACGCGATCGCCACATACGTACGCTTATTATCCAGTAGCAGTTCGGCTTAAGCATCAGGAGCATCCTAATGACGCCATGGTTGATGAAGACTCTGTCCAACAACGGCAATCTGAACACGAGAACTCCTGAATATTAACAACTGCCACGGACACTGCATAGTTTAGTTGTAGGCAGTGAATGCAGGAGGTGCTGATGGCACTTGGTGAGCTAAATAGACTTCAAGCTGCCAAAGTTTTAAATAGGGAGAGACGATAGCAGGTATGCAGCCCCTGAGGCGTCTAAAAGCTAGAATAATTTAAGCGCGCGAGAAAACGTACGGACAAGCACGTATTCGCTCCATACGGTTGTCAACATAATTTTGTTAACATCTGTTTCTTCATGGTCTAACCACGCGTACACATGGAATCAGAGACGAAACGTAGTTCGCATAAGATAGCCCGTTCACCGCAACTTTTGCCCGCATGTACCAGCGTGGTGAAGCTAGCATGGAAGTTTTATCGCTATAGGACGTGGCTAGTACTGTAGTGATAGTTAGTATGTGCTAGTAACGCCCCAATTCATAAGTGTCCGAGAGCAGGCCTTAAAAACAACAGCAGAAATTAGCGAGATGATCAAGCAACTTTGAGGCAGAAACGAGGCTCGATCTGATGATTGCAAGCGTATCGGTTGGCCAAGGTGCGCGGCAGAAGTTTCGAAAAGTAGAGGCTAGGTAGTGAAGATCGATACCCACGCGTACTTGATCAACTATGTGGCCGTCTCTTCAGCTTTTGCACTTACTCATTAGTAACGTAACGGAAGCTCCTGCGTTGCTTATTTTTAACACGACTTTGCCGTGACAAATTATAATGACTGATTTTTACAAATTTGCTCCAACGAGTTACACGCAATATCTACACTCTCCAAGCTTACACTGTTCCTGCATTCTTACATTGGTGACGACTCACTTGAAGTGTCTCTCGAAACACGCCTAATCTCGTTCGACTTCCCTGACGTCTACTTTGCTTTACTTCAAGTTTTAAAAGAGTACAACTAATCCACACATGGATTGAACCCTACTTAACAAACGTTCTCTTACTTTCATTTTAGTGTGTTTCTGGTGCAAAATGCAGCTTTAATGGCGTTTGCTCTTTGCTGCGGACAGTGATCCTTCAACTTTCCGACTGTATCTCACCGAGCAGACATGCACTTACGGCAACACAATTTGTTCTGCGACGCTTCGTCGTATGTTCGATAGTATTAAGCTGGTTTTAGTGTTGGTGCGCCTCCGGTTTCCTTACGCTACATTGCTCCATTTGCAGCTGCATTGCTCACGGTGACGTGCTTCCTTCCGAGCAGTCGGATCATTTTCCATTCGGCTTTAAAACCGTAAATTCTGTTGACGATTGTTTTGATGTGACCAGCAAATAAATTGCTTGGTGTCTTATCCTTCTTAGTCGATATTCTGATTAATTAAGTACATGGACTTTACAAGGATGCATTGATCCTCGATCGCTTCCAGCCCTGTCGAAACTGTGCTCAGGTTCGACCATTTTCCGTACCAAAGCACTCGTTATGTGAGGCACTCTCACTCACTCGTCAGTCGTTCTCACGAATCTGACCTCATTCTGATAAAGCCCCTCCCCTTGGAAATGGTCTTCTATAGACCGATACACGTACCGCTGTCTTTTATACCGAGCAGCTATTGTGGATGAACGAATCGATTTCTGATGCGATACAAGAGTGGTAGACGACTCAACCAGACTTTAAATGCCAGACTTAACTCTATGGCTTGTAGTACGCGCGATAGTGAAGGATCATCGCTTTCTCCATGAATCGTACATGCCCGAAAACTACGAGGTGGGGTAAGGAATCGGGCAAAACCAGTTTGGTGTTTTTCGCAATCAACGTGTAGTCGGTCATCATCGATCGACACGCAGGCACGTGTTCGACAGACTGACATTCATCCGACATTCATCACGCTGCATTTAGCGATGCGTTGTACAAGTGAGCAGAACTCTTCACATACTATGCTTCCTTTATATCTATGTGTTGTACAAATAAGCAGAACTTTTCGCTCACTACGTTGCATTTAGCGATGTATTGTGTAAGTAAGCAGTACTTTTGTATGTTCGCACCCCTCTCGCGAATATTCGTGTTCTTTGGGTCTATTAGAATCCAGTCTACTTCGACGAATGAAACTACCAATGGGACGCGATACGATTTTGTCGATACAAACCGCACCGCTTCTGTAGCCGCAACTCCATTTCATCATTTCAATCCATGTTGAGCTTTAGCAAGGCTCTCTGTAAAAAGCACAGTAAGGCGTTGGGACGAAGTAAGCTGTGGTATTCATAGACGCTAACTGCCGCGAGTGTCAACTTGCTGCGACTTCTTGGCTTTGATGAGACATTTTACCTGATACCTCCTTCTCTCGTCGCAGATCGCTCCCAACGACATCGTCCGCCAACATTGGTACTATAACACATGAGCTCGATCACGTTCAAGGGAGAGATGGTAGAAACCGATGCACTGCGGAGAAGCCCTTGCTCCTTGAGCTGCGAGAATGTACTGCCTCGAGGTGCGAGCAGGTTATTCCACGATTAAGTCAGATGTCCAGACTAAATCAGTTCGTAGTCCGATAGAATCTTGATGGCCGTCAGTGGGTAGCGATGCGTCTTTGGAAAAGATGAGATGCATGGTACTGGTAGAAAAGTAGCGATCAAATGGCCTAAGGTTCCTTATTTACCATGAAATTCGTGCACGTAGATTCAATACAGGGAATCGAGCTTATGAGATGAGGCACTTTGTGCCCTAGTCAAATGCAAAATGAACCATCGCACGATCACGGCAGGAGTGCGCGAGCATGGAACGTAAATTTTCATACTCCATAAAATCTCTGATTGAGCCTGTGCCTGGAAGTAAACACTAGTCTCGTGACCACAAATGTGGTTTAAAAGACACGTTAGGACTAAAAATAAAAGATGCTTTGTTGACATGTCTTGTGGCTCGAAAGGCACAACCGTTGGCATAGTGTACATCCTGATTCAGCGCAAGCAGTGCGTGTACGAAACTTCGGAAATGCGTTTTCTGCACAACTGGCTGATTTTATCGAAACTTTACAACGGCAACGTCAATGAGTGCAGACTTATGTGTTGCCCAAAGCGTGATACTTTCTCCCGCAAGTGGAAGGCGCTGATGTGCGTTGGATAATACAGCCGGCAACATTGCGTGGTCGATTAATGGAAGAAGAGGGGACACGACGTCAACTAGTCGCCATGACAAGATGTTTGCTTCACACGTTGATATGAGCGCCGAGATTATGAGTCGTTGAAGTTGATCATCCGCATTGCCTTGCTCCAACTGTAGCGGGAAACCTGAGCTGTGCAGATCTGGATCCACCTTGTCGACATCCGTAGTAATATCAATGATAAAATTCGAAAAAAATCGCGTAAATGTCTCGAAGAACATCTCGCGCGTCCTCTGCAACCTAATAAAATCCCGGAGACAAGTCTCGAGTCAAGATTCGAATGAAACGCTCCGCCAAAAAGCTCAAGTAATGCACTAACAGAAAAAGCGCTTCAACAAAACTGCGCGGTCGATGTCGACGACGACAATGTCTGGTCGACCGCAAGCGTCTATCGTGTTTTGCAGGTCAAGCTGAACGTCGGTTCGAGCAAAACGGGAGAAACCGACCATCCACAAGGATCCACTTCTACAGGCTAACAACATTGAGAAACGCCACCAACCACTTGATTTGAATCAAGTGGGACGTAACGTCCCGTCCCCCCGCAGAAAAGGCACTTGACGTACAACGAAGACGCGGAGACTTGCTATTCGTCTATAACTTGGTGCAACAGTCGCGACGTCCGAGCGCGTGCAGGTCCCTCACAATGCCACGACCAAAGGACAAAGAAGGCGCGGCTGGCCCCATCCACTTACTCTATGCAAGTTGCAGTCGCCCCGCGTCGTCCTTGACTTCCACCCCGTCGTTGTCGATAGAACTCCCAGTTCTCTAGCCGCCACCCCATCCCCCACTCCCCTCCCCTGCCATGCGCGTGATCCAAGAGACGCACCGCCTCGAGTGCGAGAGTCGCCGACGTGCGTCGCGTCGCTCGCAGTTCCGGAAATGGCTCGAGTCGAGCACGAGTCAAGATGGAGAGCGCGAGGAGCACGGCGTGGAGCTTCCACTGGAGCAGCAAATTGACGGTGCGTTTGCGCTGTTTGCTGCTCGTCGACCTTCCAACGTCGTGTCGCCTCTCCTCCCGTCGAGTCTGAAGAAGGCGCCGTCGCCTCTCGCAGTCAAGTGGAGCTCGTACATTGGAGCTATGGGCCTTAAGGACACGAGGGACAAGCCTCGCCACGTCCACTTTGCTGCTCAAGATGCAGAGCACTACGACTCGATGAAATGGACGGAAGACGAGAAGAGTCGATGCTATTACTCGAGCCAGGAACTGGACGAGATGGAGACGCTGTCGAGGCAGCACGGGCACCGCGGGGTGCGCTTCACTGACCAGCCCGAGGACACGGTGCTGGAGCAAGGCTTTCTGAGCTTGCCGGTGAGCGCGCCATTTTTACAGACCCGACGGTACTACTGCTTGCTTCGAGGCCATCGGCTGCAGCTCTTTAGTTCTGCAGTACACGCAGGTAGGAACTCGGGACCAAAGGAGCAGCTCACGGTTCTCCGAGTACAGGACTGCCAGACGCTCTCGACGCCGAAGAAGTTTGCGCTTTTTGGCGCGGAGCTCCCTCCGCAAATGAGTTTGATGTTTTACGTAATCAAGGCCAATGGCGAGCGTGTGATTTTGACCGCCGATGCCAAGAGCTCTAAGCGCAACTGGGTGCACGCACTCACTCGACTCACGTACGTGGGCGAAGGCGAGAGCTGTTCGAGCACTTCGGTGCCTCGGACTCGCTCGAGCTCGGCCCCGATGCTGCCGACGAGCATCTTGTCTCCCGTGCTGGAAGCTGAATCGGAAGAGGAGGTGTACGGTGACATGACGGTGGTTGGGTCTATGAAGATGGAAAGGAGGAGCAGCTGCACGGCCACTTGCTCATGATGGTAACGTACCGGAATGAATTATCGCCGGAAATTGATATTCTAAGGAAAATTTAAAAATGTGGTGATGTTAGCGCAAAAATCGGCAATTTTTAACTGAAAACAAGAGATTAAGAAAAGTTTTATTGATTTAAGTATTTGGAAAGCTAAGCGTGCGAGTACAGACGACAAAGCGCTAACCACAAATATCACGAAACTACCACAAAAATACAGCATTACCTAAATGGTTGCCGAATTATACCATGTAAAAATGTTGTATAAATCTAGTGTGGTTGCTACACGTCAATGTTCTGTAAGTCCTCGCGCGTGGAGAGTCGACAATTCAGGTCAAAAGTCTTTCGTCGCTTACGAGCATTTGAAGACGACGCAGGAAGACTCAGAACCTCGGTTCGTATGACCTCTCTGCTTTGAGCCAGGAGGGCAACTCGACGTCCCTGACACACTCTCCATCTAAAACAGCTTGAGCTAACGCTGCTGTTGCGGCAGCGAAACTGTCCAAAGTCCGCAAGCTCTGTGGCCAGCAATTACATTGGAACTCTTTTTTATGATGTGCTTGCTCCACGCAGACCTCACCAAGCGAGTTGCTGTTTTGCGCGTGTTTAAGTTTTCGCCTGTTCGCTTGACATAGAGAAGAAGGCTTTAGCACTGTAATAAAAGGATTCTGTCATTATCTGTTGCCCTTGTGTATCTGTCATACCTCTCTACAGCTCATGTTCATCCAAGCAGTTTCTTGCAGCCGAAGCTGACCGAAGGGTAATAACACGACAGGCACTAAGTCGTTAGCCGCCACTTCAACCACCGCAGCACGCCTCTTCATGCACAATCGTACCTAGCATGAAACGACTAACTAAATCAGAAATAATGCAATTTACCACACTCCTCCTCGGCTAAGACTTACCGTCCTAACCAACACGCAATAAAGCACGAAATTTCGCAAGCTTGGTCGCGTCGAGTACCTTGGTCAGAAAATCGGCCAGCATTTCCTCCGATCGCATGCTCTGTGCCTGTAACGGGGTGAATCGTTACATAACAATTTATAAGAAATTGTTAATAGAATATAACTATAAGAGTTATATTCTCAGAATATTGTCATAAGGACAATATTCTGTAGCACTTCCAAGTAGTTCCTAATTGGTTGATATAGGCCATTATATCAACCAACGAAGACGCGCCACGACAGACGCACGCAATGAGTGGTAAGCAGATAACTGATTTACACATTTGTATTTAGACATAGTTAGATGAAGATAAATAGTGATTTATTGCAGACATTAACTATTATAAATACAGTTCTACTTTTTACTCTAACCGAGTACTCGCTTCTTCTTACCGTCTTCCTCTGCACGTACGAGTGTACGTGAAGTTACGAGGCACCGCCTTATTCTGTTATCAGAATAAGTAGCTTGTACTGTCACCAGTACAAGCTTCAGGGTGCCCCGTTACACCTGGTAGCACTTCGTAGTCCGTCCAAGGACCGCGTTCACATCCAACATGAATATGTTGGATGATGAAGATGACCAAAGCTTTCACGCTACGCGTGACGGCTACTCCCATTTGAGCGATGTCGAATGGGATGCGGTTGAACGAATGGGTTCGACCATGGGCATCCATGCTGTTAGCGTCATGCTAGAGGCTCTCAATAGAGATGCCCAACATGCTACTATCGCCAAGTTCATTCAAAATGAACTTGACGCAGAACGCGAGAAAGTAGCCTTGCTTCACCAACAAGGTTCTCAACAAGCAGAGTTGTTGAGAGAACAAGGTGCTCAACAGTTTGAACTGTTGAGACAGCAGCAGGCTGCTGCTGGCGGGTCGATGCACTCGCGTCGGCCCGAGACTTTGAAGATTGACATCTCAAAGTATAGGGGGTCGAAGAAGACTCCCTCTTGAGATGGTTCGTCGAATTGGATGACGCCATAAGGGCGCGTCGCATCGACGACGGGGATATGCAAGTTGCATTTGCCCAGTCAAATCTGGCAGGACGTGCCAAGACTTGGGCACTGGGGCTCAAGCTGCACGACCCATACGCGTTTGGGTCGTTGGAAGTCTTCAAGTCGCGGCTCAGACAAACGTTTGAACCGCCTAGAGCTGAGTTCAGAGCTCGAACCGAACTCTTGAAGCTCAAGCAGGGTAAGCGTGATGTGCACGCTTACGCGCAACATATACGACATCTCACGAGTTGTATAAGTTCCAATCCGGTGGATGAACACACGTTGGTTTCGGTGTTCATGCAGGGTCTTGCGGATGGTCCCGTCAAGACTCACCTGTTCCGGCTTGAACTAGATTCACTAGAACAAGCCATTTCCATTGCGGAGCAGGAAGACTTCAGTCTGAGACAGGCTCGCGCCAGCTCGACATCATATCGTCAACCGAGACGATATGACAACGGAGGTCCAGAGCCGATGGAACTCTGTTATGTAGAGAGCGAGAAGGCTCGCTCTACAGGCTACAAGAAGTTGCAGAGATGCAACAGATGTCAAAAGACAGGACACTACGCTTACGAGTGTAGTGCCCGTCGTCCAGTGTCTCGCGACACTGGGCGTAGTGACCGTCCACCCGTGAGAAAGGGGCAGGGACGCGTGTCGGCTGTTGGTGCAAAGACGCAACAACGGGATGGACCGTCAAAAAACGGACAGGATCAGTAGGTGCGGAGCACCCTACTGATCCAGCAACGTCAAGAGAATTTGTAGGCCTCTTGATGAAGGTTGCTCCCAACACACAGACATTGTGCGTTGCTGCTCTAGGTAATGAGATCTCACTCATTACCTTGAAACTCGAAGTGACGAATAAGTTGTCCCTTCGAGCTCTAGTCGATTGTGGGGCGTCCAACAATTTTGTGCAACGCCAATCGCTAGAAGATGGTCACTTTAAATTCAGTGAATGTGACACACCTCCTACGAGGATGACGGTACGTCTTGCGACAGGCGCATCCGTAACCGTCATGAAGCGTATAGTGAAGATTCACTATACGCTAGAAGATACCCAATACGACGATGACTTTATCGTATTGGATTTGGATGACAAATTTGATGTCATCCTTGGAATACCGTGGCTCAGAAGGTACGAACCACGGGTAAACTGGCAACATCGGACAGTAACGATGCCTGCCGCTTGTTCATCAGATGGCCATCTGATGAACGTTTTGGAGAGTCCACAAGCGTGTGGATGTACTACGAGTGAGTGCGATGGCCTCACTTGTGGTACGGTCGTTAGTACGACTGCACAAAACCTTAGTGTAATAAACGGTTACACTTCGGAGCAAAGTTCCGGCGGCTGTGAGGAAACACAGGCTGCGCCGAAGGTCCACCACTCGAATAAGTCGGGTGGACTGGGACAAAGATGTATCCCTAGAGGGGAACATCTAGAAGAGAAACAATCGATCGCTCAGGTTAAGCGAAACGATAATCCTAGATCGACTGGAGAGTCTTTCGTAGAGGATCTCGCTGTGGTTGCGCAACCCCAGCTAGAGGAAGTAAAGGGAATAAGTCCCAAGATTACAAATACGGCGGAAATAAGTTCCCCGAAACCCGCGGGAATAAGTCCCCGGGAAGACGAAGGAATAAGTCCTTCGAAGCCTGAGGGAATAAGTCCCCAGGAAATGACAGAGACATTGAATGTCATAGTCAATAACGGATCATGTGTAGGCGCTTATACACTTGATCTGATTGCGCCTCCGAAGTTAACTTCGGAGATCACTCAGTTGCCAACGCTCGAACATAAAAGATTCTTGCGTGATCTGCGTAGTGGCAAAGTCAAGCAGATCTGCATACTCGTCGCTGAAGACGAGTATGTAACCGACATAAGGTCAGCAACAGTGTTTACTGAGAACGAGAGAGTTCTCAGTAGTTTCATCGATGGACGAGAGTGTCCTAGATGAAAAGACACGAATTGAGCGATATGAGTCCCAATCATGGGAATCGCTCAAGGAAAATCCTCTCTATGAAGATTTGGTTGAATTCAAGGATGTATTCCCTGAAACTGTTCCGTGCGAATTACCGAAGGATAAAGGTATTCGACACGAAGTCGAGCTTAAACCAGGCTCGAAGTACTGTGTCATGAAGCAGTGGCCACTGCCTCGTGAACAAGTACTTGCGATCGACAAGTTCTTTGCCGATCGTTTAGCAGCGGGCCATGTGAGGGAATCAACTTCCCCACATAGCTCTCCGACCTTCTGTGTGCGAAAAGCAACAGGAGGGTGGCGGATAGTGCACGCGTTTAACAAATTGAACGCTGCAACGGTACCGGCTCAGACGCCGATACCGAGGAAGGACGTAATCATTGATGGTATGTCAAAGAGTACCATCTTTTCGTCCATGGATTTGATGGATGGCTTCTATCAAATCCTAATGCGGAAACGGGATATACCCTATACCGCAGTTAGCACGCCTAGCGGCATGCTCTGGGAATGGCTAGTAATGCCACAAGGGCTCAGTAATGCCCCTGCCACGTTCAACAGGTGTGTATCACATCTGTTGAGGCCGGTACGAGAATTCGCGCCGAGTTATTTCGATGACGTATTCATCCATAGTCGAGCTATGGATGGAAAGTCGGACGTTGAGGTTCACAAGTACCACGTCCGACAAGTTCTTACAATCATGCGAAAGCATCAATTGTATGCCAACCTCAAGAAGTGTATATTTGCAGCAAGCGAAATACCACTTCTTGGGTGCATCGTTGGTAAGAACGGTGTACGTCCTGATCCCGAAAAGATCAAGGCGATCACCGACTGGCCCGTGCCGGTCGATGTCAAAGGTCTTCGAAAATTCCTTGGGCTAGCGGCGTATTTGCATAAGTATTCACGCAATTACGCCGAGATGACTGTACACCTCTCTCGTTTGTTGAAAAAGAACGAGAGGTGGTTATGGAACGCTGAATGTCAACGCTCCTTTGAGGGTATCAAGCAGAGCTTGATACAATCCCCAGTCCTAGCAATAGCCGATCAGGACAGGCCATTTCATGTGGTCTGTGATGCCAGCGATTTCGCAATCGGCTGTGCATTAATGCAGTACGACCTTGAAGGCGTTGAACGCGTCGTCTGCTATCAGTCGCGTCAGCTGCAACCAGCTGAGCGGAACTATCCAGTGCATGACAAGGAACTCCTTGCCATGAAGTATGCACTCGCGAAGTTCAGAGTCTATCTATTAGGAGATAGACCCTTCGTTGTTTACACTGACCATGCGTCCTTACGCACGGCAGTGAACAGCCCGCACCTTTCACAACGAATGGCGCGGTGGTTGTCATTCTTTGCAGAATACAACTTTACGGTCGAGTACAAACCAGGACGACTTAATGTCGTCGCTGATGCACTCTCACGTCGTCCCGACTTTGAAACAGTCGCGAAACCCAACAGTGAGACAGTCACTGTTGCGGTTATGACGTCCTCAGTTCCATCTACAACGTTGTATGATGATGTGAGGCGGGCATACGCCCAAGATGGTGAGATAGTGAAGTTGTTGTCACATCTCTCCCAACCATCTCGAGAATCGTTGAAACGATTGTCGTCTGCGTATCGATCTGCATCAGATCGATACACTACTCGGGATGGTTTACTGTATTATACAGCCGTTACTGGTGACACACCACGTGTTGTCATTCCAGATGATACTGATCTGCGTTTGCGGATCATGTTCGAGTATCACGATGCTCCTATAGGAGGACATCGTGGCCGTGAGAAAACATATCGCACGGTGAGTCGAGAATTTTTCTGGCCCCGCCAGTATCAGTTCGTGCGCAAGCACATTCGCGCATGCGAAGTCTGTCAACGAGTGAAGTCAAGCCCTTCACTGCGTGCACCTCTACAGCCTCTACCAGTTACGGCAGAGTGCTGGAAATCCATCTCAATGGATTTTGTCTTCGGGTTACCCAAGACGCACGCGGGAATACGGGTATTCTCGTTTTTGTTGACAGATTCAGCAAAATGGTACACCTTGTGGCTGTACCAGAGACAATCACGGCAAGTGGCTGTGCTTGTGTCTTTATTGACACCATCTTCCGACTTCATGGGTTGCCCCGTGAACTCGTATCAGACAGAGATCCACGATTCACTGCTGATTTCTGGCGTTCCGTGTTCAAATCACTCGGAACGCGCTTGAAGATGTCAACATCTGATCATCCAGAGTCAGATGGTCAGACGGAACGTGCCAATCGTGTCCTTGAAGAGATACTTCGAGGATACGTACACTCCTTTAAGAGTTGGAGTGAGTTTTTGCCGATGGTAGAGTTTGCCATCAACAACTCGGTGCATGCGTCCACGACACATACACCGTTTTACGTGAATGGCTTGCGCCATCCGCGTGTACCCACCTTACTAGAGTGTAACTCTGGTTTAAGGGGGGAGGGACTCGCGCGAGCAAAAACCGATTTGGTTCACGCTCATCACGCTCTGACGAAGAAGTCATTGCGTTTGATGCCGATATCGATAACATCGATATCGAAGAAGATGATGCCAGTGAGAGTGCGGAAGCCCTCACTGAAGACAATGATCCCAGTGAGAGTGCGGAAGCCCTCACTGAAGAAAAGGTTGTTGTCGCTGCAGTGCGCTCACAGCACACTGAAGCTAACGAGTCATCAGATGAGTTCATACTGGCTCGTGAAACGGTAGTCCGTTTTGTGCAAGACTCCATCGCCGAAGCGGTGGATAAGCAAAAGCAAAACGCTGACAAGAATGGAAGGGCAAACACTCTTTTATTTAATAAAGGTGACTTAGTCCTACTGTCTACGGTTAATCTACCAAAACATGTAGTGACTAACTTGGGTAGCAGTAAACTACTACCCAAGTACATTGGCCCATTTCGTGTATTGCACCGCCTAGGCAATGCATACACGATCGAGTTACCACGTAAGATGCGAACGCATCCCACGTTTTACGTTGGTCGGCTTAAGCCGTACCATCAGTACGCTGCTTCTTCCGATGAAGAACGCCCTTGCGCTCAAGCATCTCGCAGAGAGCCTTGTGCTCCCGATGGTGGGCATCAACAAGGGTCTGAAGAGCAGTTATCTCAGCCCGAGACCGATCAACAATCCCACGAGCTACCCTTAGCTCGTCACGAAGAGATGTCAGAGATCTCTCGTTCTCAAGCTGAGCAAAGGCAAACTCAGCTCGATGCTTCGAGGCAGTGTCCACCATCTGGAGACGCCTATTCCGCTCATGCTCGAGATCGTCGCGTAACCCTTGCGTTACGCGATCAAAGAAGCTCTCGGGAACACACCGATCCACATGATCGTGTGGAGAGCGTCTTTCCTCCTCCTCCACCTCCATTAGAGGACTCTCGCGGTGGCCAGCGCTATCTAGTAGAGCAGCTGTTGAACCACCGCGACGTGAACGGACGTCGGACGAGTTACCTCGTCCGGTGGCGCGGCTATCCCCCGTCCTGGGATTCTTGGGAGCCCCGCTCCCAATTGATGGTTGACGTACTGGGTCTGGTCGAGCAGTACGACGCGACACATCCTGTGCCGCAGAAGGACCGCCGGAGAAAGTCTTCCCGGCACGTTCGTAAAGGGATTTCAGGTTGTCAATCCCTTCGTACATCTCAGTAGAGACACGTACGCGCCACCACGGGCTGGTAAGGAGGTAAGCCTCCTTAGGTGCTCGTGCAGAGTTGTTCACACAACATGGGCACGAGTCTCCCCAAGAGAGGCAGGGTAATCCTTTCTCCCTTGACAGACGATGCAGCTTATAGCGTGCACCTGTCGGGGTTCGCTTTTCAAACTTATCACGAGCTTTGATAAGTTTGTCGTTCCAAGCGTCACGACCTACATCCTCGAGATTATGGATGTAGGCGTTCCACGCCTGAAGTAGTGAGGGACCATCACGTTTGTGATTCCCACTGTACCATCGATGTCTGAAGAAAGCATCGATGAAGAACTCATGTTCAGCGCGATAGTCTTTCGCGCTGGGGTCAAGGTGATGAATCCTCGACGAATCGAACAATCGTGTTCGATAACGATCACTCGTCGTCGCCGACAAGTGATCCATGACAGATTTAGGAGGCATCCATGCCTTCTTTTTCTGGAGCGAGACGCAACACATTGCGGTCCCGCTCTTCCTGCGACGTGCCGACAGAAGTACTGGCACCTCGCTGTGAAGTGGTGTCCATTGGAGAAACGACACCACTATTAGCGCCCGAGTCTCGCGACCTCGAGCGCCTTCGCTTCGGCGATGGTTCATCTGACTCATCAGATGAACCAAAGATGCTGCGACGCAAAGCATCGTCCATGCCACGCTTGGCAGGCGGCTTGGATTCAATTGCCGTCGATACGGATCCGTCATCCGTATCAGGAGAGTACGAGACACCGAGCTCGTACTCTGTGAAGACACGAGTGTCTTCATGACCAGCGCCTGCATCACCAGGTGATACAGGCTGAGTCGATTCAGCAACCGATGGGACATCAGTTGCTGTAGTTTCTGCTTCGGCGTCCGCACAGAGACGTGCAGACGCGCTCTCGGCGGCCTTGCTCGCGCATCGCATGGGCTTGTTTACCATGCGATGAGATGTTGGAAAGTGGACGCGGACCAACAAGTGCAAACCCCGTCCCAAATGATTTGGGACGAGTATCCATTTAGTCAATCAGTCACTAAAGTGACTGATGGTTAAGGGGGGTGATGTAACGGGGTGAATCGTTACATAACAATTTATAAGAAATTGTTAATAGAATATAACTATAAGAGTTATATTCTCAGAATATTGTCATAAGGACAATATTCTGTAGCACTTCCAAGTAGTTCCTAATTGGTTGATATAGGCCATTATATCAACCAACGAAGACGCGCCACGACAGACGCACGCAATGAGTGGTGAGCAGATAACTGATTTACACATTTGTATTTAGACATAGTTAGATGAAGATAAATAGTGATTTATTGCAGACATTAACTATTATAAATACAGTTCTACTTTTTACTCTAACCGAGTACTCGCTTCTTCTTACCGTCTTCCTCTGCACGTACGAGTGTACGTGAAGTTACGAGGCACCGCCTTATTCTGTTATCAGAATAAGTAGCTTGTACTGTCACCAGTACAAGCTTCAGGGTGCCCCGTTACAGTGCCAGCACAATCCCACGTCGAGCAAAATTGTAGACAAACTTGACTCGAACGTCAATATGTTTGGCCTTGAGCGACGACGCTTCTATTTCAAGCTGTCGAATAGCAGCTTGATTGTCGAAATGCATTGACATGGGCAATTTTGGCACTGCGCCAAATTTGCATAGCATTTCTCGTATGCCTAAAAGCTCTCGCGCCACCTCCGATGCCGCCACAAATTTGCCTTCCATTATCGATAGTGAAACACCACCCTGTTTCTTGGCACACCAGCTGACCGCCATACCGTTGAGAAATATAATACCTCCGGTCAGAGACTTCCTGTCACTTTTGTCCGAGGCGAAATCCGCGTCGCTATAATTTTCAACCACAATCGACATCCTGTCATTTTCGCTTGGTGTCATGTTGAGTTTCATCGACTTCGTGCCTTTTAGATAGCGCGTCACCCGCTTTGCAAGCTTCCAATCGTGAAGCAGTGGTTGATGAGTTTGATGCGTCGCTTTGTGGACCGCAAACACAATGTCAGGCCGCGTGCATCGCGCAACCCAAAGTAGCGACCCAACTAGTGACTGAAGCTCCTTGTCTGTGGGTAATCCATTCTTGCCCTTGTCCTCGAGCAACGCATTATCACTTGGGTGTATCTCGTAGCAATCAAAACCGATAGGCACAAGTGTTGAATTTGCATTCGAGAGTCCATGCTCATGTAGCAAGTCATTTAAAGCCTCCTCCTGGTCCAGCTGATAGCCACCATTATCGTTAAGCACCACTCGCATTCCAAGAAACTTGCTCAAATGTTTAAGATTTGTAATCGACAATTTGATAGAACTTCTAAGAAACGGTCAACTGCGGCCGCATCAGTGCCGGTGACCATAAGTTCATCCACGTCAACACCCACCACAGCAATGTTCTTTTCATCGCGCTTCCAGTGGAGACACATTTCAGACACGCACCGTGTGAAGCCCGCATCGCACAACTTTGCATGAAGAAGCTGACTTCACAATCGTCCAGCCTGCTTGAGGCCGTACAAGCTCTTGCATAGTTCTAGCGAAAGCTCGTTCTTGCTTGACACGCCAAGATTCTTCATAGCCTCTTCACCAATGTCCGTGCCTTGCGGTACCTGCAAGAATATCTTAAGGTGAGATTCCTTATCCGCTTCCACATAAGCGTTGGGTATATCCCCATGCTTGGCGGGCACTCCCCACGTCGCTGCCAGAGCAAGTAGTACCTTGACCGTTGATATGTCAACAAGTGCGGCGAAGGTAAGCTAATAATCAACACCAAAAATTTGCTCATTCCCGCACACAACAAGTCGAGCCTTGAGCCACTCGAGATCACCGTGCGCATCAATCTTCGTTTTTAAGACCCGTTTGGTTTGCAGTGCATAATTACTGGGACTTTACTTGACCAATCGACAAACTTTTTTTCTTCGAGGGCTTCTATCTCTTCGCGCATGGCTATATCCCACCCTTCGCGCTTGCTGCTGCGCATCGCTTTCCCATAATTCTTGGGATCGCGCTCAAAAATGTGAGCCACGACACTCTCTTCACGTTCTTGCTCCTCCTGAGCACCAACAGACTGCGCACGTTTCGATGCACCCCGAGTACTGTGGGCATCACGCGTCCATGACTTCAACTTCTTCTTTCCTTTTTGACTTTTCGAAGCCAAATCCATGACTTTTTCACATGGGCATGTCGACACCACACCATCGTCCTGATTCTCGAAGTCAAGTGCTCTACGCAACTGACTGTTCTGCTCATCACTCAAAAATTGGATGTCCCTAACGTGTTGCGTAACCACGACTTTATTTTCCTTTTGCAGAAGTACCTTGTAGCTCTTAATTTTGTCGCTGCGTCCGATGGTTACGCCGACTTGAGGCCTTTTTGCCAGCGAGTTCTTGCGCGGGTCGCGGTAAACAGAACAAACAGATCCAAAAACCACAATGTCACGCAAATCATGAGCACGCTTCGTAAGTATCTTCATAGGCGATGCTTTTTTCTCATTTGCGCTTGTCGGGCTGCGATTAAGGATATATGAGGCATACTCAACCGCATCACCCCAGAACGACAAAGGGATTCGACTTGCAAATATCATCGAGCGAGCCATATTAAGCACCGTCCGGTGTATTCTCTCAGCTTTTCCATTTGATGCTTGATTTCTGGCTTCACTGACTTGTTTAAACACCTGTTGACTTTCAAAACAGGTCGGCGTTCTCATACTCATCTCATCCGTCCGTCCTTAGGACATGTACACGACAGTTAAACTGACGCTCGAAAAGTCCAAAATCGAACTTCTTCGCCGCCTGGTCCTTGGTCTTAGCGAGAAATACGCAACAATAATTAGACTTGTCATCTACGAAATTTATCAAGTACCGCTTTCCAAGTCGGTCCCTTGGTTTCATCGGACCTTTAAGGTCCGAACATATGACACCGCCAATACAGTCGATTGGCGAGTGGGCCACCGTGTCCTCGTTTGACTGCACATTCTTGGTCTGTTTCCCCTCTGCGCACGACACACACGTAGGTCTTACACGATCCGTTATCTTAATGCCTGACGCCAGGTCCTTTACCACCAGCTCAACCGCGTCGTAGCCAGATGACCCAGTCGCTGGTAGAAGTGGTATAGTGAACCACTCTGCATGTCCTTGACCGACTCGTTTGATGTCTCGTGCGTAATTATCGCCATCAGTACGTCACTCAGTGTGCTTGTACTGTGTTTTGGGGCCACCGTCTTTACGTAAAGAACATTTTTATCCATTGAAATGTCGGATACGACTTCATTATCGCTGCGCCTCGCCAGTGTGCGCTTCATGCCATCATACACGATTTTAAACCCCTTGCGCTCAAGCTTGCCGTACGAAATTATATTTCACGTGAGCTCTGGTGCGAGGTAAGCTTTAGTCAACGTGACGTCCCGCACTTGCCTTCCTGCTACCACAGTGAGTACCACGTTACGAACACGTAACAGCTTGACTGATTCACCATCTGCCAGCTGGCACTCTTGTTCGCACTATTATACGTCTTGCAACAAAGATCGGTCATTAACCAGGTGGCGAATGGACCCACTATTTGAAATCCATCCATCACGATCAGTGTTTTCTCCAATCACCAGTGCCTGGTTCAGCTTTTCATGACGTGAGCTCTATATTCTGGCGCCTTCGCCAATTGCGAGCACAAACTTCCACCGCCCTTGGCTCGACTGCCTGCGTTTGTGTAACTAATCTTTTGCTTCGAAAATCAGCCTAGACATGCCCTGCTTTATCACACCCATAGCAGGTACGTGTCTCCTTGCGCAACGCAGAATCTTCTACATGCGCGACGACCTCCTTCAAAGGCGCGCCCTGACCTGGATTCCATTTTGATCGCCTGCGCAAAATGCGCAAGTCATTCTTCCTGGACAAGGTAATCGACGCGATGCTTTTGATACTTAGCCATCAAAATCGTCGATAGCTCGGGTGGTGCGTACCGCACAAAGTTGTCGAGAACTTGTTGCTCAGCCCCCCCCAGATGCATCGCTGACTGCGACGAGGTAGAGGTAATGATCTGGCCATGGGCGCTTGTTGTCCTTCTTTGCCGTAAACAACACCATCGCTTGAGCCGCAGTGATGTTAGTCTTGAAGGTGTCAAGCATACGCTGCATGACATATTGAAGAGTCGGTAGCACAGTTCACCAAGTGTCGACTTGCTTGTTGAAGTACCGCTCCGCAGTACCCGTCAAGTACTGCCCCAGAACGTCAGTCTTGACGTTCTCTGTCCATAGAAAACCGCACAACGCTTGGGCCATGTCCACCTGTCGCCAGAAAGTCTTGCGCCAATAAAAAAACAGATCCAAGACCAACATACACCTTAGTCCCATCAAACTTGCGTAGAGCAAGCTTACTCTGCCCCGCGTCAGGCGTTTGATACTGAGACGTGGTAGGAGCTTGAACCGGAGATTAAGTCTGCGGTTGATACGGGTATGGAACAGGTGGGCGAGGCGGTGGCAGTGCGCGTTGCGGCACATCTTGATGAGACCTTGACATAAACCTGTCAAGCCTATCCATAATAGGACGCGGCGCTTAATGACTTCGCAAGTCCGACCAGTAGAGAGAGTCTCGCTGTAGATTGCCTGCGAAGTCAGCGCTGAGCATAGAGCCGAACATACCGCTGTCGACAGCGCCTCGCATGCGCTCGTATTCGGAATTCTCGCCTGCGACAGCTCCATCTTCTTCATGCGCTCTTCCATGCCCCCAGGATCGTGATAACACTCTCTAGCTCATTGCTGTCCGCGCTCCTTTGTGAGCGTGAGGAGGGACGACCACAGCAGGCTCCGTCGCAGCCCTTTCGTGACTGGTTGTTGGCGGTGCCTGTGCCGTGTTGGCGTCGTCTTTCATCTTTGATCTTGGGCTCATAACCTGTTCGCTTGACGTAGAGAAGAAGGCTTTAGCACTGTAATAAAAGGATTCTGTCATTATCTGTTGCCCTTGTGTATCTGTCATACCTCTCTACAGCTCATGTTCATCCAAGCAGTTTCTTGCAGCCGAAGCTGACCGAAGGGTAATAACACGACAGGCACTAAGTCGTTAGCCGCCACTTCAACCACCGCAGCACGCCTCTTCATGCACAATCGTACCTAGCATGAAACGACTAACTAAATCAGAAATAATACAATTTCCAACATCGCCTCCATTCAGATTGTACTTGAGCGTCACGGCATCGATGCTGGACTTAAAAGGCTTGAACACAGCCACGTCTAGCGGCTGCAGGAGGTGATTTGCGTTTGCAGAGGTAATCACAAGTATTAATTTAGAGCCGCACCGCCTCGCGCACAATCTCGCCATCAAAGTACCTGCTACATCCGTCGTATACCAGTACAGTGGTCGCTGCACATCAAAAAATATGGCGTGCGAAAAGGGTCACAGCAATCGAATTGACCCCACATTGTCCATGAAACCACCGCAAAATGTCGTGACAGCACGACAAGAACGTTGCATTTTGCACTCATCCACCACGCCGCGGGTGACACGCTCACCCGGTATATTGTAATGAGGTGAGCAGACAAAGCTTGCTGCAGACGCGCACGCGACAACAGTACGATGCAAGTTGCACTGAGAAGACCTGCTCCGTACGTTCCTCGAGCCCTTGACCACGGTCAACTTCCTCTTCCTGCTCTTCTGGGAGAATCCGTTCCCATCCATGTTTAAGACCCGTTCCGTGCTGGCATTGCGCTCGATGACGTGCATCACGTATTTGTTGAAGAACTACTGTCGACTGTCTAAGCTCACCTCGTTCCTAGCACGCTTGATAACCTGGCTATCCTGTAGCGTTTAAATTGAATAATGCTTAAGATAGCATGATGCCCACCGTATCGTGAGAAAGACGGTGCTCCGCGTCACCGTACTTGGCCCGGTTTATGTCTTTTGTCTTCGCCAGAACTGCCTCGCGGTTGACTGGCAGGACATTCTTCTGCATTCCGACCAATCAGTCATGGAGATCACCTTCCCATTTCTTTCTAGGCTGAGAGTTGCCCAGGGTTGTGTAGTGCCACGCCGTTGCTCAGCAAGCCTGCTCAAATCCAACTCGTTAGCTGCGGCCACTCGTTGCGAACGCGGTTGATCTAGGCGCCCGCGGCATACGCGCGCACAGCAGCGTCCAGATCTTCTGCGGCAATTTTTTTTAATCTGCCGACGACATCTTGACCTTCGTTTTCTCCCGTTTACCGCGCTCCACGTCTAAACCAGACTGTTTGTCAGGCCACTAGGTGCGTGAGGCCGAGTAAAGAGGTAATTTAAGCGTAAAAGTAAAAAAGTATAAGGATAGGTCTGACGTCATTAGCTGACGTCACTGAAGAAGCTTCTAGAAGGATCTAGACGGGTAGGCTTAAAGTAGCACAAGGTAACGAACTAAGGATCTACATTAATTCAGTTTTCAATTTACCTAGTGAACGACAAGTCCTCATATCTGTTAGCCATTGTTGGGCCCCGCCGTTCCCGCTGCCTGCCGTCCCCGCCGTCTCTGCCGTCCCCACCGTCCCCGCCGTCACCGCCGTCCCCGTCGTCTGCCATCACCGCCGTCTCTGTTGTCACTGCCGTGTCCGCCTTCTTCGTCGTTACCGTCGTAACCCTTGTAAAAGTTGTAGCAGTCGTAGCCGTAGTAACCGTCGTAGCCGTAGTAACCGCCGTCGTCGCTCAAGAGAAGTGATCTGAAAAATCCATCATAAGTCTTATTCTTTTTGAAAGCAGGGACTCATTTTCATTGGCTGTATCTTCCTACCGGGCCATTATCACTGCTACCGTTATCGAGGTCTTGGTCTTATTGACTAAAAATCGATTCGTTTCGGAAATATGTCAGTTTGGTTAACGGAAGGTTATTACTTCGGTTCATGACCCGCCACCCGCGCAAGCAGCCTACGCCACTAGACATCTACGACTCGCTGGCACAGCTATCCGTGACAAATCCGGACGCAGACGACAAGTGCCGTGCGGACATCCGGGAAGCATCCGTCGCACCAGACGTATTCTTGTCCGCTTCGAGAAGCATCTGGACACGACCCAACGCTCCGACTCGCGCAAACACATCAAGACTCGGCTTGTGGCGCACACTAGCGACTTGCTCAGCTTTGAGATCACTGTGAGCTTGCGCATATCACGCGAGATTACCAAGCACAAGAGCAAAATCGCCCGAGTCCCGCATTTTAGACCACAGGGCACAAGGTCGTGCTCGCCCACCAACAACCGACGGCCAAGCCAAACAAGTCCTTGAAGCCCGGATCAAAGGCTATCAATAGGAGTACCAAGACCATAGCTACGCCAAGTACAATTAACTGATCATTATATCAGTTAGTTACAGTACCGTTCCATAATGTCCACCCCAATGACTTCCGATTAGCATGCACAACTGCTACAAACGATGGTTGCGACTATGGAGAAACAATCTCTGTTGCTAGAGCAGTTTCAAAGGTCCACACAATTATCGGAAACCAAGCTTGAAGGTGTAAAGCTTCCGACGTATGGTGGCAGATTGGACGAATCATTCAACCTCTACAAGGAGCAAGTAGAGCAATACTTCTTTGCACGAGGAGTGAACTGGAAGTGTCAAGAGCTCACTATACTTATACTAGCCGTTTTGGGGTGCACACTAAAGCAAGGAGCTGCTCAATGGTATGTCATGCAAATTTAGTACATCACAACCGTGGACGACTTCTTCTTCAAAATCGAACGGAAATTAGTTCCAGCTGATTTATAAGAGCGTCTGCGTGAAGAAATGAATGATACGAGAGAGCACAATTGCAAAGAACTCCCTGAACATGTGAGCAAGTTTCGCCACGTGGTAACTCAAGTCCAAGACATGAGCGAACTGGACCGGATTATGTACTTCTTACGCGGACTTTCTGGTCGCACGCGAGAAGAGGTCCAGTACCGTCGCTGTACAACGTTGCGGACGCTATTACTGTTGCGTTGGACTATGGCCGTTCGCATTCGCCGAAGTATTTCCGGGGCAGCTCACAAGATAAACCTAGGTACAGGTCATACGACAATAGTCGTCGATACTAATCAAACACTGGCTCATAGCCAATGGACGTTAGCACCGTGCAGATTCCTTCTCGGGACGAATGTCGTCACCGAGATTTCAAAACAAAAATGATGTATTCCGAATTATCGCTCCGCACAGTGTCATCAGCGCTCCACACGTTCTGTTCGAGGAAACACGAATTACGGACGAAACTATCAACATCAGGTACATCGTCAGCATGTCAACAATGTGGACAGCGGTGAGAAGAACAGGACACAAATGTTTACGACCGAGTCACGATCAATGTAGTGGACGTACATGAAATTCTGAGGTACCATCTATTGCCAATCGCTCAAGTAGCTCGGGGGCGGACATACCAGCGCAAAGTCATCTATTCGTTCGTGATGTTGCTATTGGCAATCAAACCGCTAAGATTATTATTGACTCGGGAGCGTCAACAAATCTAATCAAACCCGGTCTGGCGTCCAAAGTTCTCAGCGAACAGATGGTACAAGCACGACGTTTTGATGGTACCTGGACATCGAGTCAACCCACAAAGCGGGTGGAAGATACCATTCGAATCGAATGGATGGAGTTCCCCAAAATGCAGTTTGCGGAATGGGATCTACCGGATACACATGACTTGATATTTGGTCAACCATGGTTTACCATGTACAACCCCCAGATCAACTGGCGTACGCAACAAATTGAAGTTGCAGCACATACGACGTTCGAATACGTGGATGGTCCGACCTTCCAAGCGAAATTGACTAGCGGGGCCTACGAGGAAATGCATCAATTAAAAGTTACCACCATAGACCATACGGAGATACCACCCGAGCTACAGCCAGTGCTGGACGAATACAAGGACGTATTCCACGACCAACTTCCAGAGATAACGCCTCCGACGAAATCGGTCAACTTTGAGCTACACATAAAGCCTGATGGGGTGCCAAGTTCTAGGGCCCCCTTCCGTCTATCGAAAGTGGAGCAGGACACTCTCCAACAATTTCTGGAGGAGAATATACGGATAGGATGGGTCGAGGTGTCCAACTCTCCATGGGTCTCAAATATCTTTGGGATTCCGAAAAAGGATCCTGTAACCGGAAGGTTCCCTAAACGCGCCGAATGGCTCCGCAGCGGGAATTCCAAGATCCTCACTAGGTAGGTAATTGACTACCGCTATGTTAAAAGCATGTCTGTCGTGGCAAAAATTCCTTTTCCATTAATTGAGGAACTGTTCGACCGCATGGTCGGATGTAAGTTTCTTACGCTTCTAGATCTTGCGCAAGGTTACCATCAAATAGTAGTCTTACCATCAAGTCGACCCTATACGGCTTTTCGCACCCAAAAGGAAACGTATCAATGGCGTGTAGCCCCCATAGGGTTATCCGGAATGCCTGGTGTCTGATCTCGGCTTATGCGCACGTTGTTCGACCAACTCGGAACCTTTTTCGTGGTGTATCTTGACGACATATGTATCTTCTCTTGTACATTGGAGGATCACGTCGGCCACGTTCGCGCAGTATGCGCCGTGTTGCGCAAGGAGAAGCTTTTTGCTCGACTGTCCAAATGTGCGTTTGATCGTAATGCGATTGCATCTTTAGGGCATATGGTTTCCGACGAGGGTCTGCGTGTCGACCCAAAGAAGACCAATGCTATTGCAACGTTTCAGGAGCCTATGTGTCACAAGGTGCTGCTGAGTTATCTCGGACTTGCTGGGTATTGCCGTCGCTTCATCTGCGATTTAGCCAAGCTTTCACGTCCTCTTCGAGCATTAACCAAGCAAGATACTCGCTGGGGCTGGGGGGAGGATCAACAGCGATCATTTCACGCATTAAACTCGCACTTCAGCAGGCTCCGACGCTAAAGCTGCCAGACTTTACGCACCCTTTTATTGTCACTACGGATGCGTCTGGGTTCTGCATGGGCGGTTTTCTCTCTCAGCGCGTCAATAATAACGACCACGCCATTGCATTTTATTCGAAACATCTGGGCCTCCACGAACTGAAATGGCCAGTTCATGAGAAAGAGCTGTTAGCGATCAAGACTGCTTTCGCGAAATGTCTTCCGTATCTCCACGGACGACACTTTTCGGTCTACACCGACAATTCAGCGTGCAAATGGATGCTTTGCCATCCCAAAGTGTCGTTAAAGATGGCACGCATGCTGACGTTTTTCTACCAGTTTGACTTTGTCTTGCATCGTGTTAAAGGACGGTCTAACGTCGTGGCCGACGCATTATCTCGCCCTGCCGTTTATGGAGATCCATCTAGCGCGCTCGCTATTCCTACGTGCCAAGTTCCTGATCTATCGCACGTCGTACATGACTGTACGAATGATTGTGCCCTCATCACTCATCTTTTGCAGCAACACATGGTTCACTCCGCTCTCATGCGGTCCATTCCGCTCGAAGTCGCGCACCTCTTACGTGAAGATGTGGAGTTGCGGGGGGAGTGTCGTTCGATAGGAATCGCTCACGAGCAAAACCACAACGCCGCGTTTCACGTGGTGCGCGCCCATCTCAGTGACAAAATAAGAAAAATGATCCAGCAAGGATATCGCACAGACAAGCTTTTCCAAAAAAATCTGGAGAACTCAACAATCGAATGAAAACTTCATAATTGACAATTGACTCATGTATGTAAAAGAAGATGAGGCAATGCAGCAGGTATGCATTTCAGACATACCAGATTTGAAGACGAAGATTCTATACATGTTTCACGATGCAACCACAGCGGCACATCCAGGAGTGCGCCGAACTTACATGAAGCTAAAGCAACGGTACTACTGGCCGAAGATACCTGAAACCGTGCAGAAGTACGTGGAGACATGTGAAACATGCGCTCGATGGAAGTCTAACAGCCAGTGAAAGAAAGGATTAATGATTCCTATTCCCATTTCGGAGGAATGCTGGGAAGTAGTGTCCATGGACTTCATTACTGGGCTACTAGTGTCGGAAGGCTATGATGCTATTTGCGTCGTCGTAGACAAGTTGTCAAAGAGGCCGATTTATGCACCGACATATACGACGGCCGATTCGAAAGACACCGCAGACCTATTTTTCGACGCTGTAGTCCGACATCATGGATTGCCGAAGGTTATTATCAGCGATCGGGATCCAAAGTTCACGGCGAACTTCTGGAAATCGCTGATGAATATAATGGGTGACAAGTTAAGCATGACGACCGCTCATAGAGCGCAAGCAGATGGGCAAACAGAGCGCCAAAGCTTGGTGTTGGAAGACGCTTTACGCTGCCTGGTATCGTACAGTGGCAAAAATTGTGCCAAGCTACTTGGTACTGTAGAGTACGCGCACACTACGTCGGTGAACGCGTCTACTAAGCCCACCCCTTTCGAAATCGATATCGGAAGATTGGTATCCAATCTGATTTTGCATAAATACAGAGACCACGCTGATCTGGGCTCACATTTAATGTCAGAATTTGCCTCCAAGTTTGCCAAAGATCGTTAAAAACTATTACGCAAGGCACGCGAAAACCTGAGACAAGTTCAGATGAGGCAAAAGAAGCACTACGACTTGAAAATAAGAAGCATTACATTCAATGTAGGTGACTTACTTCTGTTTGATGCCAAGAACCTACCGCTCAGAACAGTTAAAGCTCACATCGATCTAAAGAAAGCGAAGCTCGCAGAAAAAAAAGTGGGACCGTATGAGATAACCAGGACGATCAATGCAAACTTATCTAAGTTAAAGCTACCGCGAAATATGGAGAGACTGCACTCCTCATTTAACAGTGACTTAATCTCCCCATGCAAGCCAAATGCCTCCGAGTTCGCTGGACGACCAATTCCGAAAGTAGCACCAGTTATATTAGAGTCAAACACCGGAGAGAAACTACACATAGTGGAAAGGTTGCTTAGTCGTCGTCAGCGCAGTCGCCAAATATAATGGCTAGCCAAATGGCACGGCCTCCCGGAGTGTGACAGTACTTGGAAACGCAAAAGATCTATCCGCCACGTCTCGCATTGGCAGCAAATCGTCCAAGATTTTCGAAACGGCCAACGCAAAGTCAAGTACGGGGAGATGGCAGGCCACTAGGTGCGTGCGGCCGAGTAAAGTGGTAATTATAGCAAAAAAAGTAATAAAATTAAAAGGATAGGTCTGACGTCATTGGATGACGTCATTAGCTGACGTCACTGAAGAAGCTTCTAGAAGGATCCAGAAGGGTAGGCTTAAAGTAGCACAAGATAGCGAACTAAGGATCTACAGTAATTCATTTTTCAATTTACTTAGTGAACGACAAGTCCTCACACTGTTTGTCACGACACGTCTCGGCAATGAACTAGGTAATCAACGTGACATCCAATCATTGTATTTAGAGCCTCAACTTACGAACGGTGATCAGCAGATTTATGGCTTAGCCATGACCTGGGTAATCGGCAAGAAAATCATTACGTTATTATTTATTTTGTAGGAATTGATCGACACGAAACCGACATTTTGTTGGTAATATGTAGTCAAGGCTTGAAGTGGCAAAGGAAACTCATTGGATAGGATAAGTGTAATGCTGCACAAAATTGTGAGTCAGTGTTTCTGGAATAAAGTATAATTCATTTTGGTCGGGTCATTAATGTTTTTAAGAGGAGACGTGTGCAACGTACCAAAACATTATTTCTTGTAACGCTGGCACTATCATCAGGATCCGCGCCGAAGCTACAATTCACTTTTACTAGATAAGTTTGTGTGCTCGAAGCGTACTGAAAGAGTTGGCGGCGCAAATATTACGCAAAAACCTGTCTGTTAAGTTCGCTCTATGCCTGTTTGCCAGGGCACCTCCAGAGGGAAATCCTCCAGCGTACAGAACATGAGCTGTATAACTTTGCTGTAAGCAGCATCACCATTACATTTAGTAGTCAGCGAGTGTGTAAATTATTGTGTTGTGCTCAAGAAAGCTGGAAACTGGGGAAAGGTAGCACTGTTATTGTTAAAGAGCCTAACAACACGGTGAATCGCTTGTTCACACCAAAAACAAAGTTAATTTAAATTTCAGGTTTTCAAATAAAAAGGTGTGCGAGATTGCTAGCCTGTACGATAATGTCCCCATGGAAAGTAGCTGACAAACGATTGTACAAGCTTTGAAGCAGGCTTCTTTGACGGCAGAAAAGCCGGACGGATTCGACCACGCCCCGTTTTCGCCCAAGAAAAAAAATGGCACAAGGGCAAGCAGACCAAACAAACAAGAGTGATTAAACCAAGTGTCATATCCGACTCACTCACGAGCCGCACTTAAAAGTGTTGATGTCGGCCCCGTGGAAATGATCAAACGTGCAAGCATGGATGACGTACAGAAAATCGTCTTCAGCAACGAAGTGACATCCAAGTGAACTGAGCTACAGCACGGTTGAACACACTTTCACTTTTCATCATCTTGTCATCGAGGCTGCGGTCATTTTTTGGTGCAAAGTGTTTGCTCGTGCAGCTTGTACAGCGATCTCATATTCTACACCGTCTTATGCGTAGACCTAGCCACGAAGCGAAGTACAAGATTGACGTGAATGAAGACAGAGTGAACGGAAATCCATTTGATTGAGCAGGAGGCAATCATAACGGCGCCCTTGACGGGACACAAGAGACCGGCAGCGAACGGGCAAGGCTACTGCAGACGAGTAGCACTTTTTTTCTTAGTCAATATCTGTAATGATATGTAAAGGGGTAACACATGGTGAGATACTCGGAATACTGTGTCTTAGACGAACGTGATGGTATCCTACTGAAAGAGATGTAGGATATCTTATCGATTTACAGGATATGAAGAGTGTCTGCAACAATGCAGGATAGATCGTAAAGATACTAATGTAGGACATGAGTGCCTAGACCAGGTAATAAAACGATATTACCTGATATAGAGTTAAACTTAAAAAGTTCAATTCCACTTTTGATCTTGTCTAAAACACGCGCCGTGCGAGGCGTCTCTGATCGTTGATCTTTTAGAGCTAGCAACACCTCCCTAAGGTAGCTACTATTGAGCGCTAAGTGCTGTATACTCACTGAATCGTTCGTACCCTGGAGCATAGAACTTAAGCTTTACGCTTTTTGACTCTAAAGGTATATTTCTTTAGAACTAATATAGTTCTTCGAGCACTAAGTTTTACTCTGACGAAAAAAGCTGTGTAGCTCCGCTACATTTACTTGGCTAAAGCGTA